TTGGTTGAATGGGTTTATTGATAATTTTTCTAGAGATTTGTGTCAAAATTTAATGGTGATCATTTGGAGTCCTACTTAGAATGTTTTTTCGTATCCTAGAAAGCATTGGGATGTTCACTGCAGATAGAGGTTTCTATCTGTTGTTTGAGTTATTGAATCTTTTGTAGTATCAAGGGATTTGGTAATTGTTATTCCACATGTTTATATTTAATTTCTTGTTTTAAAGTACAGAGAAATTTTTCTTGACTGTGATGCTTCAGAGTTGGGTTTAGGAGGAATCCTAGAACAACAAGTAGATGGTCATGAGCAACTCCTCAGGTATACTTCTAAGGTCTGGAATCCAACCCAACAAAATTATTCCACGGTAAAAAAGGGATTACTTGCTATTGTCCATTGTGTCACAAAATTTCAAAGTGATATTCTCAATCAACATTTCTAGAATTTGAATTCTATTTTTGAGCTAATGAACTTCTTTCTTGACTTCATTTATCTCTTGTTTTATGTCTGAGATAGAAGGTTTTTTTTGCTTAGTGAGGTGTTGTTCACTAACTCTTTTCATAATCGAAACAAAATTATATTCATCTAGTGTTGTACTGATAGGAGGTGTTTGGTTGGACAGCAGATCTTCCGATCTTGCTGCTAATAAAGCTGTACTTCCTACAAAGTGGAGGGTAATAGTATAGATTAAAGTGTTTACTGCATCACTTTCTGTATATATATATATATATATATGTATATAATTTGTCTAGAGTTAACAACCCCTCAAAATGTAAAGGTTTAAGTTAAAAGGGGTTGTGATCGGTATATTTATCAAAACAACCATTATTTTTTATTAAAAAATTATTTAAATAGGTAAGTTTACCATTAAACAATGACAAATTTGAAATTTTCACAAATGTACAATGGCATTTTAGAAGTTAGTGTCCTATAACTTTATTTGTAGAGTACCTTTGTCTTTTAGTTAAAATTTCAATTTTACCCCTTATGGAATTAATAAAAATACCTTTTGCCTTGTAGTATTATTTATAAATTTGTCCCATAAAAGTAACTTTTTTAAAAAAATAGATAACAATAAATCCACCCTTCACAACTCTCTCTATCTTAAACCTTTGTAATTTGAAGGGTTGTGAAGTTTAGAATATCTCATATATATATATATATATATATATATG